CTCCCACTTTTGAAGAGATTGTCCTAACTGCTATATTAGGCCAGGCTTTATGTAGATCCTTCTTAAGTTTTTGAAGGTGGTCTGCTGAGCATGCAAGAGTTTGGGTTTCACCCCTCAGGAGATGACTCTATCCTCCAGATCCCACATGAACAGAGATGCCTCCATGAAGCCTAACTCATGCACCTGGATACTGGATGGAATTTAAGGCTTCCTGCTCAGCCTGTAGATATTTTTCATTATTCTTTGAAGTGCCTAGCTCTCCCTACACACTGTACAGAGAGTCTCTGAGCCTACCTCTGGGCTTTGGGTTCCATGCTGAAGCCCACATGCATACAAGTTAAGTTTGTAGGCACCTAGTTTTTTATTATTACTATGGTTGGATTCAGCCCTCTGTAGCTGGATATAGTGGAAGGTCCAAGTCCTTTTACTTGCCTGCTTTGGAGTGATGCAAAATGAGACATTCAGGTATGAATCGGGCAAAATGGGAACTAGAGCAGGGGTGGGCAAAATATGGTTCATGGGCTGAATCTGGCTGACCAAGGGATTTTATCTGGCCTGTGGCAGGTCCCTCAGTCCCTCCTGGCCCAGATGCAGGGGGCAGCCCAGGCTGTGGTGTGTGCGGCCAATCCCACCACCCCCAGGTGCATAGTAGGGCCAGAGCAGCATGGTGTCCAGACTTCCTGGCAGCAGCTCCTTCCAGCCCGTCCTTCTAGCCCATCCAGCTCCTTCTGGCACTCTGGCCTGTCTGTCCTGCACCCACTGCCAGGGGTGCGACTTGTGAGGGCAGGGCGCACAGCTCGAGGATGGGATGGGGCCAGTTGCTGACAGGGAGTGGCATCCGGAACAGGATGGGCAGGCAGGGCCATGATCATGGGGCAGTGACAACTTGGGGCAGAGCTGAGATCTGCTCCCCACACATCCCTGCAATGGGTGCCAGTTCTGTGGGCAGGAGCATGCAGGGAGCAGATCATGGCTCTGACCTGGTCCCTAACACTACTCTGTTACCTCCCCAAGATCCCAGACTTGGTCTTGCCCACCTGTCCTGCTCCCAGATGCCATTCCTCACCCGTATGCATCCCCATCCCATCCACCTGCCCACACAGGTTCTGGCTGGTTTCCATTGAGAACCCAGCATCACTGGGATCTCTGGGTGGTGACAGCACTGGGCCAGAGCCCAGGGCAGAGTTGTGATTCGCTCCCTGCATTCCCTTGCGGGTTTCCTACCTGCTTAGCTGGCAGCCATCGCAGGGGTGTGCAGGGTATGGATCATGGCTCTGCTCCAGGCTACGGCCCTGTGACCCCAGCCCTGCCTGCCCATCCCGTTCCCAGATGCTGCTTCCCAGCCACCTCGCCACACGCAGAGCAGAGCCGCTTAGGTAGTTTTGGTGAGCTGTTGAGGGAAGGAGGGAGGAGTGCTGACCCACCCCGCAACAGCTCACCAATACTCTGTAAGTGGTCCATGGGACTAAAAGTTTGCCCACCCCTGAATTTAGAGTCTAGTGCCTCATCCACACGAGCATGGATGTTTGGTTCCTCAGGGATAACTAGCAGCAGGACACCTTGTGCTTCTGCTAGTTGTCCCCAGGGATTGCCTGTGTCATGTGCCCTCTGGCGTGTGGCAGGTTACCCTAGGTGGGGTAGGGGAGGCTGGGGCCAGCACTGGGCTGGCCTCAGCAGCCTTACCTGGGATCCTTCTGGAGCTGCAGCAGCAGTGATCCTGCTGCTCAGAGCCTGGCTGGCAGCTGGAGTATGGCTCCAGTCCACCAGGCTCTGGTTTTGACTGGCATGCGCTGCACCCAATGTGCGCTGCTCTGCATTTTTTTTTGCATGGGTTTTTTTTCACCCCTGGATATCCAGGGGTCAACAAAACCCCACAACCCTGCGCTGCTCCCTGGCAGCATGGAGAACAGCTGAACATGCAGTATGTGGTGCTTCAGTCTTGTCTGCAGCGCCACTACTGCATGGCTGCACTCAACTGGATGTGGCCTGGGTCTCCTGCATTCTACACCAAGACCCCAAGACCCCAGTCACTGGGCTAGCAAGGCTTTCTGAATGATTCTCTTACTCTTTCATTTTTTTATAAAGCTGTTAAAAAATCTTTTTCTGTTCAAGTGCAGAAGGAAAACAAATTTTGAATCCCACTAGTTACAATTAAATATCTTGTGGTCATCTTGGTGTTCTCGGTTTTGAGCTGATACACGTTATATCCTGTTTGGAGGATAAAAGAAAACTTACTCAAGATAACAGGATTATACCTTGCCCTTTATCAGAGGGGTCTGACCATGATTAACTTGGACTGATCTCTCCTATAGAAGGTTGTCTTATTTTACATGGTACTGCATCTAATTGAACTACACTGTTTCTAGTTTTGTAACTAGAAATTAGGGAGGTACTCAGTACATTGTACTAGGCTTGTCCCTCCTACACAGACCGTAAAAGATGGATGAACTTTGTGATTTTAGCCCATGTTTACTTTAAAGATTCACCAACTGAAGTAACACTGATTTTTTTTTTTTCCTAGCTTTTACTCAGCAGTGTCCTGTTCCAGTAATTGAGATATTTGACCTGAAACTAATGTGGTAAAACTCAAAATCAGTGGTTAGCAATTTAAAGTATCGATGAATGAGAGGATAAAATGTCAATAGTGTTGTTAGTAGTCTAGGTAATTCTGGAATGCAGGTTGTGACAAGTCAATTTTTCTCAGTTGGTAACACTGAAAGGAGTGTGCTAATTAGGTAAATGATGATGTTTATACTCAGAGTTCCAGCTGAATTTGCCGTTTTGCAGTTTCTGTATGCATTCTTCTTTCACTTTCTTCGATCTTTCTTGCAGCCAGAGTCACACTCTTGCTCTCAAACGGCTACGCTGGAGAAATTGTGGGGGCAGAGCTGGGCATGATGACCAGAACAGCAGTGAATGGTTGCAGCTTGCAAGTTGTGGAGCTGATCACTTTGTAAAGATATTCAATATTAACAGATATGCTCTTTAGCTGAGTTAGCTGACACAGACAAATAAAATTAATTTGCAGCTCTGTATGTCATGTTTGTTTTTTACCAGTTGACTCTTAAATGTTCATTTTCTATTGCAAAAACAGGAATGCCTGACAATTGTATTGATCTAATTTATTAAAACATCTTGAGTAACAGCCAATGGCATCTTGAAATGTTATGTGTTTATTCTTGTGCTGTTGTTCCAGGAGGCTTGAGAGACATTTCAGATATGCAGTTAGTACAGATCCATTTTGCTGTCAATGATAAGGTTACCTGGTTATGCTTTCCCATTAAAGGCAAGGATAAGTACATACCCTTAATTCTGCTCTGTTGCATTTGTGTTGCAACACTGGATCAGCTCGCAGTTGGTGTGAGTTAGTGTTAATGTGCCAGTTCATATGAGCTGAGGTTCTGGCCCATCATGTTGGTTGTTTGTAAGGATGTAGAAACTAAAGCCCACCAGTACCCTTTCTTCCTCTCTTAGGCAAAGCCACACTCTTATTCTCTTAATTCAAAATGGTGTTTCACTGTGGATAGTGTATAGGCACAGCTGGATATAGTGGAGGATTCCCATTCCTATGAAGCGGTCTTTCTTTGCCACTCCCTTCCTCCCTCTTTCCTGTTAATGTGGTGTCTGTCCTTCAAGTGGAAAAAGCATTGGAATAATGACTTTACTTATTTTAGACAGCTTTTGTGAGTGATGATACAAATTCCTTGATTTTTTTTCCCTTTTTGATGCATTAGTGGCCAGCAAAACACAAACTCTTATATTATTGGTTTACAAAGAACCTCTTTTTTCTGATAAATCAAAAACTTAATATTAGCAATACATTCCCCTAGTTTTCACTCTGTAAAGCAACAACTGTAAGCTCAAATACGGTAGTACATAGTACTTTTCTGTGCATCACTTAACTACTTAGCAAGTTCTGATGGCTGTCTTCTTCCCAAATCACTGCCACCCAGACCTATTTTCTCCTTCTGGACATATGCCCCATGACAATGTCAAACAAAGGGTACCACAGTTGAAGAAAGGTGGTTACTAGTTTGGGAAGTATGATAATCACTTTCTTGCATTTCATGAGAAAGTAGCATGGCCCAGTTATTTTCAGAATCTGCTACAATTACTTGTTCTATCCTGTATTCTTACTACTGGTAGAAGTGACCATATGCTTCATTTACATTTTTGCCTTTACAGATACTGCAGGACCATGACTACTGGTTTGAAATCTCCATTCCATTGAACCTTTAGGACTTTCCCACTATATTCCAGTTATGTTGCTAGATTCCATGTAGTTTAAAGTGTTGCTCCAATTTGTTTGGGGTATTCTGACACAATTAAACTCTTTTTTAGCTGTCTGTTCTTTCTGTAGAACTCTAGCTTGTGTCTTATTCTGTATTTTAAGACGTACTTGCCAGTTTTTTACTTAGGAAGTTTTTTGAGTTTTTTCCTATTGACCTTCCAGATATTTGTAGATAGTTATATATCTCTGCTTAGGTCACTGAAAAGCCAAACTTCCACACATCTAGTTTTCCTGCTTAAGTCAGCCTGTTCAACTCTTTATCTTTTTTCTTACTTAAGATTTTTTTTTGAAATCTGGTTACTGCTTAGATATTTTAGTCATTTTCTCATTTCACTCTTTATTAACGAACGTATTTTCTCTCTCATACCAGATAAATGAGGTATTTGTTGAAATGGCTTTGTTTCTTTTAACCTAGTGTGGTGCTCCAGCTCTGGCCCATGGAGCAATGACATATAGCCCATGGGTCCCCCAACAGGTCAGGAAATTCACTGGCAAGGAACAGTGGCAATTAATACCCCCACCCTCCCGCACTGTCAAATTCCCAAGGCCCGTTTGGTTGGGTTGGTGCCGGGCCATGCCCCCTTCCCTCCGCATGGCTGCTGGATGGAGTTTTGCTGTGCCTGCCCACTGGGCACTACCTCTCCAGCCTGCCAGGCAAAAAATGTTGAGCTCTGCTGTTTTATCCTGTTGACCAGTTTTTGTTTCTTTTTCTTTCTTGTTCTCTTGCAGACTGTCTTTTCTCTGCAAACTTCTAGTATTTAATTTTATATATAATTTTTTATTGTCTCCACTCTATTTCTATTCTATGTTAAATACCCTACTCCTTTGAGCACGTTGTACTGTGGTCATAGTGTTTGTAGCCAGGCTGGTCTAAGGAACATGTGAGAAGCAAGGTTTCTTTGGTAATATCTTCTCTTGGACTAATTATATAGTGAAGTGTTAAAAAAGACTTCTGGGCAAGCTTCTTTTGAGGTCAGAGAGAAAAGCAGATCCAACCTTTTGAGCACATCGGCAGCTTCTCATTCTTTGAATAATTCTGTTTCATAGGAACTCTCAGTTCTTCAAGTACTTGGTCGTGCACATTCTTACAAAGCTCCTTCACAACAGGGGTTAATCTCACCCCACAGTAGTCCCAATACAGGGGCTCCAGGTACTTACCTCTTGCTGCTTGAGGTGCAGGATTTCTTCCACCCTGCTGAGGCACAGATTCTTCCCTTTGTAGGCAGCCTGGACTGGCTCTTCCCTGGAGCTCTGCCTTCTGCAGTTCCTACACCCAGACTGCCTCTTCTGGGCTGGGCCCTGGGCGTATGAGCCTCTTCTTGGGTTACCTGACCCTCTACGTTCACCCCTGGTGGGTGGCCATTTTATTTAATGCCCCCTTTGTCATTATAAGTCTGTTATAAGTCCTGGCCTCCCTCCCCCTTTCAGTAATAGGGAAGAGGCCACATTATAGCCATGAGGCATTACTATTTTGAATCCTTTCTGGAACCCTCTGCATATGCTTTTATTTCTCTTTCTGTCTCTCTTTGTCTGGGGTGCATAAGTCCATCAGACTTCAGGAACATCCCCCCATTATAGGGGATTGATTCCTGCTTCAGGCTCACTTTAAGTAGCTCTGCACTGCATCGTTTGGCACCCATCACTCTACTTACAAGTGTGGAATAAAAGCAAATTGCTGCCTTCTCAGATTCCTCTCTCACCCTCCAGAATCTTCCATGTCAGTAAAAGCCCAGATCTGAATCTGCAGGGAGGCAGTACTGACCATTCTGCTTCTGTATAAGAATCTAGGGGAGATTCAGGGCTCTTCCTCAGCCTTGTCTCCTGTCTCCAAATATGCCTGTCCAGACAGGAATTCTAAGAGAGATTGTAGAGCACAGCACGTTGGACCCCCAGGTCTGTTTAACCCCTGCAAATCCTGGAATGATTGCTATGTTGGAAACTTTTCGTACATCCTTACATAAAAGATCCTTTTCAAAGTCAGCATCAAGATTGAACAGTGCGGTGCAGACTGTTCCTCATACATGCTATATCTATTTCACTTTAAGATATTCAATGCCTTTGCACCAATGTCAGTGGGCACAGGTCTTCCCGATTTCAGCACTGCTCCCATTTTCACTTGCAATGCTGTGTCCAGTCTTTCTCCTCAGGGTCCTTCCACACAGCCTCCTTTAGCTTCCATTCCAGCACTGAAAGAGCTATGGACCTATTCCTTCTTTCCAGCTTGTGAGGTCATTGTCCTTTCAGTCTTTGAGGGAGTATTCAGACTCAGCACTATACTTTGAGCATGCACTGGGAACAGTTGGTCAGTGTGCTTATCCCCTTTTTCATACCTGGTCATGGTGGCCATGGCTGGTTGTAGCAGTCTTACAGAGTTCACCCACTGTTAAAATCATTCAGGGTTGCACTTTTCCCTATCTTCACAGGATATGTCTACCCAATTTCATCTCACTCTATTGACCCGTTGTCGTCCTGTGTGGTAGCAAGGGAATACTTGTTCATTTTCCAACTGGATCAGTATATTAATCTTTGAAGGTATGGTCCTAGCACATTCCCCCGGTCCCAGGAGACCTCTGTTCTTTATAGAAGATGTTTAGATGGCAACAACATGGAGTTCAGCCCATACTACATGCTACATGATTCCAAGAGGCCTCCATAATGCTTTTGGTGGGGTGGTAATCTATTTTTGTTGGTGGTAGAACTGTTAGTTTTGTTTGCTTTTTTTGCTGGAGGGAGTCTGAGACTCACGTCTAGGTATTGTGGGCCCTGCTTTGCAGTTACCTACATATGACTCCATGTGAGGACGCCTACATAACGGAGAGAAGGGAATTATTTACCAATAACTGAATTTCTTAAAGCTTTACACACATGCATGCAAACCCTGACAACCTTCCCCTCTTCCTCAAAGTCAGGATTCTGTGGTAGAGGAAACTGAGAAGAATATAGGGATGGGAGGAATGTTGCAGGGCTGTGCTGGAGCATACAATGCAGATTCTGTTAAGGTAAAAGTTTCCAGCCATAAGCTGAGGGAGGGAGTGAAATACACCTCAAAGAACTTCAGTTACTGATGAGTAACTTTTGTTTCTTTACCTTCTAATTAGGTCTTGTTAAGGTCACCCAGCTACCCTCCACCCATATGGATGTTAGTCCCTCCTCCAGTTCCACTAAATTATATATTGAGTTGTTAAAGGGACTTGTAAGATGTCAGTTATCTTTTCAGTAAGCCAACTGTCCCCTTTCAGAATGGCATGTTTAATAAAACAGACAAAACTGGTACCTATGTGCAGCAAACCAGGAAATTATGTCTAATACCAGATAAAAAGTAACTGGATCCATTTTAAGTACAGCATTAAGTGGCAATCTGTGCAACTTACTGACCTCAGAAGAGATCACTATTAGGTACTGTAGCTTGACACCTTAGTGGCTGAACAGGTCTTGCCCTGCTCTGGTTCTAGTGTACCCTCCTTTTGTCTTTTCCTGCCATGCCTTGATGTACTCAGTTGATTTTAAAAAGGAGACTGCCGAAGGATCATAGAGTGAGTCCTAGACCTGGAGAGCAGATCTCTCTCAGACCCTACTAGCCCAATCCTGTCTTCATGAGAGAGAGGCCCTCCTTGCCCATCTGTACCTCCAGAACACCTATTGCCTTTATCGGCTATTCGTGGCCTCTGACCTCCCCTGTAGTCATACAAATACCTTGCAGAAGTTGCTGTTCAATCATTCTCCCTTATTGGGGCTTCAGCCTTCTATGACCTCTCCCCCTTTGCTCTCTTCGGGCCTTCCAGCCCAAGGGCACTGTGCTGCACCTGGCATCTGGGCTCTAGCCTTTGTCTCGCCTACTCTGGTCCTGTTTCCACCTTGCTGTGGGTACTGGGGTTCCC